GGCTGCTTCTCCCTCTTAGCCATGTGGAATAATGCTGTAATGAACACTGGTGTAGGAGTATCTATTTGAGTAGCGTCTACACCTAAGAATGAAATTGCTGGTTCAAAGGAGCTTTTGTAGCCCGGTGGTTAAGCACTCACCCAGTGGCTCTTTGGGAAGAAGGTCTGGTGATCTGCTTCCGTAGAGATGACAGGCAAGAAAACCCTGTGGGGTAGTTTCACTCTGTCACGTGGGGTCCCCATGATGGAATCACCTATACAGCACCCAATAGCAATGGTGTCCGACTGAAACAAGGGCTTGCCGCCTGTCACTCTAGTCAGTCACAGAGACGGGGAGAGATCCAATCTGAGCTTTGTTAACAGAAGGACAGCAGTCTGGAGAGATTAGCCTCTCAAGACCGTTCTGTCCATTATGAAGAGCAGGCACATTATATGGGGTAAGAGTTATATTTGGATGGTCAGTCATGTAATCTATTTTAACATCAAAATAGCATCTTTAGGATGGAAGGGGAGGGGAGGGAATAATTGGGCAATGTCCTTTTTAAACATTCCATCATTCAGGAAAAAAGGGAAAAATCAGGCAATGATCCTTTTCAAACATTCTACACTTAGGATCTCTGCTTAATTCCTGAGGTTAACTATCTGGAGGGTTGGTTGTTGTCATTGTTATGTGCCTTGGAGTTGGTTCCGACTCATAGTGACCTAGTACAGGATTTCCGAAGCTGTAAATCTTTACGGGAGCAGAATTCCTCATCTTTCTCCCACGGAACAGCTACTTGTTTCGAACTGACGACCCTGAGGTTAGCAGCCCGATTCGTAACCACTACGCTACCAGAGCACCTTATCTGGAGGGTTTAAGCGCGTCCCATTCTCCTTTTCCTGTCCTACTTCTAGGACCATAAGGTCATCCTAGCCAATGTATAAACTTCCTCATTTACAGGGTCCTCACGTGAGACTCAGTGACTGACTGACTCCAGTTTGTTTAGGTCAGTAGATCCCAGCTATCAACAAGAGCAACATGGTAACCCTATGTTTAACTTTTTGAGGCATCACCAAAGTGTTTTCCAGAGGTGTTGCATGCACACCTCTGGAATATTACATTCACACCAGCAATAGGTGAGGATTCCAGTTTCATTATTTCTTTACCAATGCTTGTTCTTTTCTTACTTTCTATTTTTTAAGAAACTTTTTATTGTAAATTGAATGTCAGTTTACCGAGCAGATCATCAGTTTTACATTCAGTAATTCAAACACTTGGTTTCATCTCAGTGATTGCAATCCCCTCTTATCTATCTTACCTCCCTGTGTTTCTTGTTTGCAAACCTCCTTCTTCTCTCCTAGCCTTATGAATTTTGTTCTTGGGTAATTGCTTCCCTTGTGATCTTGAATCATTGATTCAAGATCCAAACACACCTTTCTAGTGTTGTTGTCCCACTATACATTTGTCTACTGTTGTGGTTAAGTGCTGTTGCGTCAGTTCCGACTCATAGTAACCCTGTATAGGGTTTCTGAGAGCAGCTATTGGGTTTGAACTGCTGACCTTGTGGTTCATAGCTAAGTGCTGATCCTACAGTAACTTGCCTGAAAATTGAACCACAGGGGAGAGCTCAGTTCTTGGCCTGAGGGGTGACCAAAGGCCATAGTCTTGGGGGTCTACCAGTCTGCATCTTTCCAGTAACCCTGGTTTGTTTGTTTTTAAAGGATTTTGAGTTTTGTTTCAAAATTTCTGCCAGTCAATCCAGTATCTTATAATGTAATGCAGTTCAGAGCTGTTGGTGGTTTTTTTGGTCGCAGGGTGATGGAGACTGATGTTCCCATGGCCCATTCATCCACTGGACTAATAATGGTTTCCAAGCAATTTCCGTTTCATTACTCGTCTTTCCTCTGCCCTGGGAGAAGGTCCTAATCCCTCCTTACTAAAGAAGGATGCAGAGCACTGTCTTTGTGGACGATGTTGTGTCAGTTGACCAGGACCTAACACAATGGTCCTGAGCCCCTAGACCCTGCAATTCATTCATTCCCTCAAGGTGTTTGCAACTGTGGTGTGGCGCTGTGGGGTAAAGCACTGGATTATAAGGTTGGTGGTTCAAATTCACCCACCACTCCTTGGAAATCCTGTACGGCGTACGTTTGATACAAACATTATCTATGAATGTGGTGGCAGATAAACTTATCACAACTTTTTGTTGTTGTTGTACAGTGCTGTTGAGTTGGTTCTGACTCATAGCAACCTTGTTTAGGGTTTCTGAGGAGTGGCTGTTGGATTTGAACCGCCAGCCTTGCGGTTAGCAGTCTAGTGCCTTTTGTGCAACAACACACATTTTCAAATATTATCTGTCACACCTTTATATATGTGTGGGTGTACTCCCACTGTACTATCCACTCCATGGTCAGTTTGCTGATCTGGCCACGTGTCCGTTCATTGTTGCTGTTGTGAAGTGCTGTCAAGTTAGGTCTCACTCATAGTGATTGTGTGTAGGGTTTTTGAGCAGCAGCTGGTGGGTTTGAACTGCAGTCCAGTCCTTATCCTGTAGTACCACACTATGATTCCTGTTTTCTTTCTTCCCCCTCCCCCTCGGGATGTGAAGTAGTGTTTTATTGTGGGTTTGATTTGCATTTGCATTTTGATTTGCATTTCCCTAATGCCTAGGGAAATTCAGGATCTTTTCTTGTGTTTATTGGTCATTTGTATATTTTCTTCAAAGAAATGTGTGTTCTCTAGTTCTTTGCCCATTTTTGAACTGTTTTTTCTTTTTGTTGTTTCTCTGCTAGTCTTGAATTTTTGAGCGGGTGGAGAGGTAGAGAGGTCTCTATTGAGCACAGATCTTCTGGCTACATATGAACCCAGAGTTGGACATTAACAATTGTAGCAGTAAATGCAACAATGCAACAATTGTAGCAGTAAATGCAGCAATGCTCCAGAAAAATCATTAAACAGGTTGGAAACAGTGTTGTCCTTTGGCATATCAAAACCAGCATGCCAAAGATAGTTGTAGTCTTGGTGTTAATTGTTTCTAGAAAAAGTAGTTGACAAAAGTTTTACCAGTAAGCTGTAAATTAGAAAAACATCTCTTTTGTTACAACCTGCCGGTTCGCACACAAAAAATACACAGAAATGTGAGCAAAGCAAATGCATGTTTATGTTGAGGGTCAAGCACATGAGATGTAGTTGGACACATTTCAGAGGTGTCCGAGAGTTTAATGTTTATGTCAAAGAATATTAAGTAGCCGTTTGCCCATAAAGGTGATGTCTATTTCTATTTGGTGTCTGTTACTTTGAGAGGCCCTGGCATCTCCACCCCTTTTGCCTGTCCAGCATTGCGCCTTTGTGACCTGCCTGGGGTGACCTTCTACTCATTTGATATAAGGAGGTTCACATCTCCCCAGCTTAAACAGACTGTTTTCTGTTCAAGAGCTCTGCATTTCATATGGACTGGACAGTAATGACTTTGTGAGAATGCCTCCTCTCCCACGTCAGTAAGACACACGAGTTTCTGCCCCACTGTGGCTCACTCCCCATGGCTTGTGTTTGACTTTGCCTGCACCACTCTCTCTCCAAGTCCTCCAAACACAGATGACCATTGACAGACCACGCATGTGCTCACGCTTACAAGAGGACTGTTCTTTGACCCTTTCGTGATATGACGAGAATGCTGCTGTAGAGAATGGTTGTGAAACAAACAGACACATGAGGGGCTACTCCAAAAAAAAAAAGACGCATTTGCAGACCAAGGAGTCATTGATAAGAAATGTTCATCAGGCATGTCTGAACATTTTCCAATGTTTTTATATGGTCACTCCAGGGTTAGTTTGTACCTAGAAGCGTTTATAACCGCCTAAAGCACAAGAAAAAGTTTCAATTTGGACTTGGAAAAGGGCCCTTAGATAAATTTCCCAAGAGAAATAGAATTTATAAGGATTAGCTTCATAGTCCATGTGTCCACGTCAATGGAAAGAAAATTCTCATCCACTTTTTCCTGTTTTTCAATAAAAATTTTAATCCATCTGTTTTTTTTTTTTACAGGGTGAAGAAACGAAAAGCCTGACACTCGTGCTTCATCGAGACTCTGGCGCCCTGGGATTCAATATTATTGGTGGGCGGCCCTGTGTGGTATGTTAATTGATGCAAAGTTTGTTCCCTTCTCCTGGTGTGACAGACAAAGGGGGTTGGGGGATGAAGGGTAGAAAACCTTGCTCATTTCTTTCTGTTCTCTGTCATTAGAGATTTCGTTGTTTATCTAACACCCTGACACTTGGGTTTTTATTTAGTTGAGGTCTCCTGAAATAGCATGGTCCAAGTAATGTAACAGCTTATCCAAGCTGTTTATCTTTTAGGATGCATTTCTCATGTAGCCATTGGGCTGAAGGAAACTGTGCCTGATATATACACTTGGGACTGAGAAACCAGACAGCCACCTTCCAAAGTCGGACTGGAGTGTGGGTGACCAGACTGGAAACCTAACTGTCTAAGTTGTGTTCTGTCAGCTCTTCATTAGTCAGGAACAGATTCCTTGCTTTGTGGATTATTGCATCCCTGTAGTTTTCTCTCCCCCTTCAGCTCTTTGGCCACCTCATTCATCATTAGCACCTCCTCCACAAAGAAGAAGCCAAATTCAAATCTGTCAATTTAAATGCAAGGAAAATGTATGTGGAAGGGGCTCTTGGGAGGTAGGGAGAAATGGTTCCAAGATCACACCTGTCTAAAGAGAGTGTCTGAATGTGCCATCTCTCTTTTCTTTTGCTGCCCATTTCTTAGTTTATTAGTTTCAAAGGAGAATAATTCAGGAAGAGGGAAGGAAAATTGGATTCATTCATTCAACAAATAAATACTGAACTTGTTTAATAGAGACTAGGAGATATAATGGAGATCAAGAAGACAAGAGAGCTGTGGTAGTCCAGGTTATGTTCTGGTTGGAACGTCAGTCAAAAAACAAATAACTGTAATCATTACAAATGGGAAGAAGTACAAGGAAGGAAAAAATAAAAGGGAGGCTGACCTATGATAGATTCCAAGAAACAAGGAGCATATCATTGGTCAGGGATTAGGCAAGATCCAAGTGAGCTCTAGGAACAGAGATGGAGAAGATGACAGTCTTCCATCGATGGATAATATTTGCCCCACTCTCCTGGATCTCACTGTCTCGATTGGGAGACAGCTCACTTAGGAGAAGATGATACTGCACTCATTGATACACTATATGCTGTGGCTGAGTCCTGCTAAAGATGTCTTGGCCAGCTAACCTTAGAGGAAGAGCTGTCCTGGGAGAGACCACTGATGCTGAGTTCTGAAAGATGAGCTGCTTGCTAGGTCAACATACACACACACACATGAGGTTGCTTTAAAATGTTCATGGAAAAATGCAATTAAAGGATAATGGAAAATGTCCATGAATTTTTGAAGCATCCATGTGTGTGTACTTTTATTATTTTTTTTACTCTTTTTTTGTTTTGAACTGTGATGAAAATATACACACTAATATTGTTCCAGTTTTAAATAATTTTTACCTTTCACTAATGTCATGATGTTTCCTCTGATTGAGTACTTGCTGCAAAAGTCTACCTTCTGCAGCTCTGAGAGGGGCTCAGGGAGCAGATAGGACTGGGAGAGTTTAAATAATTGACCAGGCTTGTTGGGGACTTGAACCCCTGTTCTCTGACTTCTCATTAAGAACATTGAGCCCAGACTTCTCATTTTGCCATTTAACACAGATAACGGAGAACTGGCTGTGCCTGTTTACCTTCATAACTATTTTCCCTTTTCCTTCATCCACTGCCTGCAGTTTTAAGAAATAATTGTGATAACCTCAAGATTCATTTGACCATTAGACAGACCTGTCAGAAACTTCTGCAGCCAAAAGAACCCAAGCCAGTCTATTGTCTGCCTCTGGTCTAACCACACGAAAACACCTTTAGGAAAACAGAGCCCAATGCTTGGAAAATATGTGAAGCAAAGAGGTGTGTCCATGGCTTAGCAACATTGGGAAACCCAGTATGTTGCAGCCAAGGGAGCCGGTGACAATGACGTTTGGTTTCCATATATCACCAGGAGGTGAAATGGCACACCCAAGCTCACTGACTGTAGGTCTAATCTTGTGCTTAATTAAACAAGAGAATGTTTTAGGTTATTTTCTTCTTCCTTTAAAAAGGTGGTTTATGAGTTAAGTACAAACCAGACAGAATTCTGTAGCTTTGATAAGTGAGTCAGTCAGTTTATGTAAGAACTACATGCATGTGGAAGAAGATTGAATTCCAACATGATTCTGTTTGCCATTGTGTTTTTGTTTGTTGTGGTTAAACTTGCCCTGATTAGGAGAAATAGCATAATGAAACCTAAGTAAATTCTACAGTGTTGCCTGGAAAGTCTGGCAGGTCAGTGAAACATACTAAAAAGCCAAGATGAGCAACAGTGCGCCCACATTTTTAGTTGAGGGAAGTAGAATGTAATACAGATAGCGTGTATGTTTCCCATGGAATTCCTGTGTGAAACTCTTGGTCAGGTTGTGAAATAGGCTTTTCATGGTGTAATGCAGTACATCATCTCTTAGCACAACTACATCATTCGTTCATTAGTTCTTACATCCCTAAGAGACAGCAGCCAATCTTGTGTATCCAAATTCTCGTGGCAAGACTGCTTCATTGTCAGGTACTCCCAGGACTCAAACAATCGCTTTCATTTTTCTTTTACGTTAGTCAGCAAAACTGTAACGTGAATCCCAAGGCACCTTGATATAGATAGTTCAGACTTAACAAGAGTTGGAAGATCCCAACATACTGAGAGATGTCTTTCAAGAGAAAAATGTACCTATCAAGAATGAACTTGACCCGGTTTTCTTGGATTCTGCACTTTCTGTATCTTGCCCCCATCCCTCAACCCTGTCATCTGGTCTTTAGTTTTGTCTCTGTCACTCTGGTTTTTGCTTGAACTTTCTGATGCTGCTTAAGAAAATTACTCATGTACAGTATAGCCTTCAAAACAAATCAAAGACCAAATCCCATCCCTGGGAAAAAACTTTAAAAAATAAGGAAAGCATTTAAATCAGAGTAAACACAGATTGCCTTGCATTCTGATATATTGACATCACCTACTAAGGAGCTCTCTCTGGTAGCGTAGTGGTTAAGAATTGGGCTGCAAACCGCAAGGTCCGCAGTTGGAAACTACCAGCTGTTCTGCGGGAAAAAGATGAGGCTTTCTACTCCCCTAAAGATTTACAGCCTCGGAAACCCTGTACAGGGTCGCTAAGAGTCGGAACTGACTCCAAGGCACATAACCACACTAAGGAGCTCTGGTAGCATAGTGGTTGTGAATCGGGTTGCTAACCTCAAAGTCAGCAGTTCGAAACTACCAGCTGTCCGCAGGAGAAAGATGAGGCGTTCTGCTCCCGTTAAGATTTATAGCCTCGGAAACCCTGTGCAGGGTCATCAGTCGGAACCGACTCCACAGTACTTAACAACAACAACAACTAAGGAATTCAAGCTTGCTCATAGATCCTTTGTGGTCATTGAGACTTTTCATGTTCTTCTATTGGAATACTCCATAGTGAGGAAATGTTGGGCTTCTGAACTGATGTACTTTCCTGAGGGTTTTCTCAGTGGGAGACAAGTATTTCACACAGGGCATGTGCAAGAGCTTAAACCTGTCCTGATTTGTTAACCCCGCAGTGCTAATTATTGTATGACCTTGATTAAGCTATGTTGTGCTTCTCAGCCCCAGGTTTTTCTCATCTGTGAAATTGACACAGTAGTATCTACTGCTTGGGGTTGTTATTGTGAGTATTAAAATGATATGCATAGAGCACTTGCTGTGTATACCCAGTGTGCACTCTGTAATTTGAAGGTGGCACAGTAGGATAAGAACTGGACAACACAGTCTGTTTGAACCACAAGGTCAGCAGTTCAAACCCACCAACTGCTCCTTAGAAACCCTATACAGGGTCCCTATGAGTCAGAACCAACTTGATGGCACTTAGCAATAACAACAACAATTAGAAGGTACAAAAGACTCCAGGATCGGCACTGGGCTGCAAACCACAAGGTTGGCAGTTCACAGACCTGCTAGCTGCTCCTTGGAAAAACCTATACAGGGTCACTATGAGTTTGCACCAACTCCACGCACGTAATAGCAGTAGTGTAGCTTTGAGGAGTCCTCTTGGCACAGTGGGCTAAGCATTGAGCTGCTAACCGTGGGAGAAAGATGAGGTTGTCTGATCTGGTAATGATTTATAGCCTCAGAAAAAAAGCAGTTCTACTTTGTCCTGTGGAGTCATTTATGAGCGGGAATAGACTTATTGGCAGTAGGTTTGGGAAGCTTTGTACTTACATGTGAGGCCCACATGTAGGGAGTGACACAGATTTGTTTAGACGAGTGCGTTAGTTAGGCTGCTATAAGAGGAAGGCAAGCGTGTTGCTCCTCAGACTGTAAAGGGTTACTGTGAAGTCGGTCTGTGCAGAGCATCGTGATGCTAGGCAGGGATGTCTGTTGAGGATAGCTGATCTAACACAGCACCCACAGCTGGCTGACCCTGCTTTGGGGAGAGTGTTGATGGAATCCAGATGACCGTTAGAGACATATCTTTGTCACATGGGGATAAATGCTGGGGAAAACACTTAATGCTTATATAGGTTGTGATTCTGGCTGTTTTGGGTGAGTCATTGCGTGTGTGTGTGTGTGTGTGTGTGTGTGTGTGTGTGTGAGAGAGAGAGAGACAGAGAGACAGAGAGACACAGAGACACAGAGAGGGAATGAGGGGGTGGGATGGGTAGGTAATGCATTTTCCTAACCTCAGTTCAAACCATCAACTACTCCTTGGAAACCGTATACAAGGTCACTGTGAGTGGGAACCAACACAAGGCACTTAACTGCAACAAACCTCAGTTACTGTTGTTGTATTTGAAAGGGTGGAATGAACAATATTCAAAGTCACACCTCTTCCTCTTTACTGTACAGGATTTTTTGTGCGTGTTGATGTTGTGTTTCACGGTTATCTTTAAGAAATCGGACTTTAAAACCTTCTACATGGAGCATAAATGACGGAACTGGATCCCCTTGTAGCACTGCGACAAGGAATTCACTGTGATGGTAGAGTTGGCACATCCTGAACTGACAATTTCAAATGATGTTCTTTGGGAACAACATATGCTTGTGCCATTTCAATGATAAATCCGTTCATCATGAACGATGTAATCCACACACTTGGGGAACCTTCCCTGTGGAACTGTTTAGAAAGAAGTTCATGAACAAGCTGCGAGGTTTGGGGTTTTTTAATGAGCTTGTTGGAACCTTTTTGATTTTCAGAAAAGGAAATCGTTTTAGCTGTGAGCTGTCTTCTCTCTGAGTAACTTTCAGTCCTAACTACTAATTCAGAGATCTAGACGGAATCTAGGAGATTGGAGATGAGATTTCATTAGGACTAAATATAGGTCAGTAGTGTTAAGGCTTTTTGATATACATCAGAACAAACATAAAATAGTTATTTTGATTGTCATATTATTAGATATTCAAAAGCTTGACACTATGCAGAAACTTTGAAAAGTTCATGGGAAAATCCAATTCCATTTTACTTGAACTTTTCAAGCTCCCTTATACTATGTAATGGTGAGAATGAAAGGCAACACTTTGTCTCATGAATGGTATTAGCACCCTCTTTGAAGGCCAACTTGGCAACATGTACCAAATGCCCTCGGATCCACCAGATAATTACTAGGGATTTCCCATAAATGTGTACTAACAAGGTTGGTTTGAACTGCAAGGTCTGTGGTTCAGATTCACCATTCAGTCCTTGGAAACCCTATACAGGGTCACTATGAGTCAGAACTGACTCCACAGCACTTAACTACTTTTAAAACCAGCAAGAATCAGTGATTGTTTAAAGATTTTAAAGTTTTGTTTTTATAACCAATCTAGTGTCTACCCTTCACAAGATTTTTTTTTTTTAATTGTTGTTTGTTTGTTTGTTTTTTAACCCAAAGGACAACCAAGATGGATCATCCAGTGAAGGAATCTTTGTATCCAAAATAGTTGACAGTGGGCCCGCAGCCAAGGAAGGCGGTCTGCAGATTCACGACCGGATTATCGAGGTATGTGGACGCTGCCAGTATCTTTTAATAGTATGAATGCCGCTGCATCTTCATCTGGCCAGAAACACTATGTTTGGATGGGGGAGGGACACCTCAACTGGTAGATGGTTGGACAGGAGGCAGACTTTTCTGATTGTATGGGAACACATAGAGTGTTGATGGCGTTGGTGTTAAATATAGAGAAGACAGCTTATGAGTGGCATGTTCATTATTTGTGTCTTTTCATGTGGATGTGCATCTGTTTTGTATGCTTCAGTTCTAGCTTTGTGTTAAGACCATTGGAGAGTTGTCTGTTAGTTAGAACCAGATGAGCAATCATGTTGTACAAATTGTGACTCTCTTCAGATAGGTTATCATGGTACTGTCTTATTTGAGGAATCACTTTAAAGTCCTCAGAATTCTTGACAACCCTGTTCACTCACATCATCACCAACTTCTCCATTTTCATTTCTTCAGTCGTCATTCTAAACTGTCTTATGAGGATAAGTCAGAAAGTCTTGCTACTAGAGTTCTAGTTCATACGTATGAGGGTTTATTCTAAACAAAAATGTGTTTAAACATGTCTCTGTGATCACTGGATGGTTGATGACAAATTCTCTCAGTAGTACACTTGTTTTATTGCAGGTAGGATGTCTTTTTATAAAGGTCCAGTGAAAACAATGAATTCTAAGGGGACCTGCTGGACCAGTAAGTTTGTAGCATACAGGTCAGCTCAGAAGGCTATGGTGACTGTTTTGTTTTTTTTTTGGATTCCTAAGGGGGTAATCTTGATAGAATTTTCTCAAAGAACAGGATGATCACAGGGGCTTGTTATGAAGTTTTAAGAAAACTGAAGCCTGCGTTGGTCAGAAAAAGGACAGGAAGTTGCACCAAGGAATTGTTTTCTATCACAACAATGCACCTGCTTGTTCTTGGATGGTAGCTAGGGCTATGCTAAGAGAAAGTCCTTGGGAAATCTTACCCTACTCAATCTACATCCCGGATCTTGGCCGTTCAGACTTCATTTTATTTCCTAAACTCAAAAGAACATTTTAAAAGAACACAATGTTAAACCCTTTAAGAATGGCAAGACTGTCATTTTGACATGGTGTAACGAAGAGTGCCATATTCTTTTGGGGAAAGGGTTAATGAAATGGAAAAACCACCTTTGGAAGATTATAGGCCTAGATGGGGAATACGCTGAGAAGCAATAGCTTCACATTTTGATAACATTTGTTTAATAAAGGTTTCATGATTCTGTGAAGTCCTTGTGTTGCACTGTAGGATAAGCACTGGACTGCTAATCTCAAGGCTGGCAGTTTAAACCCACCAGTTGCTCCTTGGGTCACTATGAGTTGGAACCGACTCACTGGCACTTAACATCAACAACAATGTGATTCTGTAGCAATACTTTGTGACTTACCTTTGTATAGCAGTTTCATAGACCTGTGTTAAGGGAAAATGGATACCTCAGCATACAGCACTTTGAAATATTTTGCAGAATGTTGTAGAATTGCTCTTGAGTTGCCGAAAGGCCAAAGTTATCCATTGCCTACTTGAACAGACTCTAAATACAACACTTTTGCTGTATTCTTTTTATCACTTTGGTTGCTCTTTTAACAAGCATATACGTAGGCTAAATTTTGTTGGCTCTTCTATTAGGAAAAAACAAAACAAAAAAAAACGTTTAATGTGATAATTTAGGGTGCTATTCCAGCTCCCAAATAAATTCACCCTTTGGCCACAGTCATATTATGGCATATTAAGTAAGAAACCAGAAACATACAGCATCGGTATCAATAGGTGTTTGTTGTTCCAAACACAGCATAGCGTTTGTATTTCCTGAGACTTCTGCGTGGCCCATTTCAAACCCTCAAGCGGAGTGGAGCTGTGACCCAGGAGATAAACCTTGAGTGGAGTTGATGTAACACACTGGAATGTGGCCACTTGCTTCTCCTGGGAAACCGAGCCCTGGGAAGTCTGAGAACAAAGTCTTCGCTCTTCCAGGCTCATCTGGATGGATTCTGCCAAGTGCAAAGTAGTACATTTCAGAATAATTTACATCCTTAGGAAAATGTACAATTCAGTCGCACAGGGAAAACTAACTGAACGAGTCAGAGCTTGTGGGTTGCTTCTTTGATGGACTGAGTGTCTTGTGCTAACACACATATTAAAAAGAAGACTTGGTTTTGTTTTAAAGGCATTATTAATACTGTTCCTTTGGCTCTGACTTTGTGAAATGATCTTAAATGTGCAGTTCTTTTTTGCCACATGTTTTCGGGTCTGCCTTTGTACTTCCCAGATTTGGGGCGTGGATTTTCCCTACCAGGAATTTGTTTGGGTAAGAACACTTACTTGAGAGCTCAAATGCATGCTTACTATCTTGATGTTTTTTTGTTTTTTTTTGTGAGTGAATACATTTTCTGAGGCTATTGTTCAAAATGATAAGTACAGCTTCCGTTGCCAAGGGTTTGGTGGAACAGCCAGTTTCTCTAAGTAATGGAATTTCGTTGCTCTTATGTTTTGCAAATGAGAAATCTACAGCTGGGTAGGATTTTCTCTTGGCAAAGGGTGATTTGTATTTGAAATGTTCAGTACAGTTTCTGGTAAGTTACATTCCCTTTCTGGACAGTATGTGAAATATTAATCATGTCCCAGTGTTGAGATGGAGGGAAGGATGACCACAATGGGGAGAGAGTATATGTGTAATTGCAGCTGACATGCTGTGTATTTTGCAGTCCAGTTCTAATCTCTTTTGACACAGTGATTCCCATGACTTACAAATATGTACTCTGGTTCACCTCGTCTGTGTCCGAGTTTGTTACCAAGCATGGATTTTATTATTTTAAGTATGCCTTTTTTTCCCCCCATAACTAGGAAAGTCAGATGTTTTCTAGCATCTCACCAAATTTTTCTTTTTTTTTCATTTGAAAGTAAGTAAGCAAGCTACTACCAAACTTTCAACATAAGAACCGTATGCTTTCAAATGGGTGCTTAAACAAAAGCCATAGAAGCTCATTGAGTCTTGTCCATACTGTCAAATCCTTATGGTTTACTCTGTTCCCTCCCCATGGCCCGAACAGTGGTTCTCAACCATGTCAAACCCAATACTTTGAAATTTCTCCTATACCAACCTGGGATTCCTCCATTCATATACACGAGAAGGTTCACATTGTTCATGAAAAATGAAGTTGAAAGATAATGGAATTCTTTACCAGTTTAGTGAGCAGTTCTGGTAGCGTAGTGGTTCTGAGTTGTGCTGCTAACCTCAAAGTCAGGTGTTTGAAACTACCAGCTGTTCCATGGGAGAAAGATGAGGCTTTCTGCTCCCGTAAAGATTTATAACCATAGAAAGGATTGCTGTGAGTCAGAGTGATTCCAAGGCACATAAACCAACCAGCTTAGTGACTCTCCTGCCCCCGAGTGTGCTTGTGTATGTGTGTTAAGGTAATAAAAAATAAAGGAAGACCATTTATAATACAATTCTACGTTGGTGTGTAAATGTTTGGACACAGTGGCATGGATGAGAGTGGTGTTGTGGGTTAAGTGTTGGGTTGCTAACCAGAAGTTTGGCAGTTCAATCCCAGTGTTCACTCCAAGGGACAAAGGTGAGTCTATGTGCTCCTATAATCATTTAGACGAAGGGGTGATTTTAGGTTCTATCCTAGAGTTGTTGCAGTCCTGGTGTGGCACTATAGAATAAGTATTGGACCACAAGCTCAGTTGAAGACACAAGATTGGTGGTTCAAACTCAGCAGCTGCTCCTCAGAAACCCTCTGTGAGAGTCCGAACTGACTCGAAGGTGCTTAACCACACAACAGCGTATTGCTGAGTCAGACTCAGAGTCAGCTCACTGGCAGTGGGTCTCCCTGGAGTCTCCTGTGGGGAACCCACTGCCTTAGGCCTCCCTGGAGTCTCCTGTGGAGAACCCGCTGCCTTAGGCCTCCCTGGAGTCTCCTGTGGGGAACCCGCTGCCTTAGGCCTCCCT